TACACACTGTAAAAAGTCCTACACATTCTAGTTTGAATTAAGGATATTAGTAAAGTTGATATAGAGCAACAACCAAGACCTTTTTATGAGCACAATATTTCTGTACATTCTTCAAGTGCACCGAGCACTTGGCTTTTAATATAAATAATTGTCCATGGCTACCGCAAATCGGAAAACGGAGGAGAGTCCAATCCAATCCAATCACTTCGGCCGGGGCCAGGTCCACACTCCTCCATTACAGCGTCGTCTCTTTTGGGCACAATCAATAATGATAGATAGGCCACCGCGGGGAAGGACGAGGGGATCGCGTGTGCGATCAGTGTCCAACCACAAATCGCTTTGGGGCCTTTGACAGCATCATTCAAAAAGTAAATACGATCTGTCGCCGCTTTGGAGCGGAGCATGAAGGAGCTGGAAGCTGGGAGCTGGGAGCAGCTTCTGCGTCCACGGATCCCCAGATCCGCAGTGGAGCGGGTTTTGTAAAGATCGTGATGAAATTCGCCAATCGAACAGCAGGAAGCGATCGAAGGCAATTCGGCAGTGACGGTGGGAAAAATCTGCTCCATATGGTTGGGCAGAGCAGGTGACAGGAAGGGGGTTATCCGCAAATATTTCGGGTGAAATTACTAATACCTTATCACTACCAATTTCCTGTTCGAGTGTATCAAAGATATACACGATATAATCTTATCATTATTAAGTCGAAAGATTTAATTGCTGGAGTAATCAGGATTGAAGATTGTGGAGTAAGCTCCCTTTGAAATCCCATAACATCGTATTATATCATCAGATCTGTGTAGATCTACAATCAATCCGCGATGACAACCTTACGAATCGTTTTTTAAGTATGATCAAACATCGAAAGGCTTCGTGGGCTAGTTAAATGTGCAGATTACACACCTTATTATTATGAAATATGTTCCGTAATTATGGCCATAAGGGGTGAGGGATGGGCTGGCCGGGGGACAACCTCTTAATAGACGGTTTGGTCAGCCCTTATGTAATTTCCACTGCCCAGTTGGGCATCAGGGCAAGCAAAAAGGCAAAAAGGGCCCACAAGAAGCAAACCCTAGACCTCCTTATATTGACAGTCCTGGCGACAACGACGTCTGAGCTTGGGGCAACTTGAAGGGGAAAAGTCGAGGGGAAACCACTGTCGAGACTCCGTCTTTTGCCTGGCCACTGGCTCCTGTCTTCCTCATGCCAATTTATTTATGGTGCGGTACAAGTTTTTACGCACTCAAGTGCTCTGAGACTAATTGGGCACGAAACGCAATCAAAGTGACGACGACAACGATGTATTGGGCCGATCCCTCCCGCTCCGCTCCCTGCTCCTTGCTGCTGCTCCTGGGGAACCGGGTGACACTCACTGGATTCGATGGATGGCAGACTAGCAGGCCGGTCGATCGATCGATGGATGGATGCCAGGACGGACAAAGTCTTCAGAAAAACAAAACGACAGCCAGACACTCAGACAAATTAAAAAGGCCTTACAGAAATTTTCCTATAAGATTTAAAGAGTTTTTGTTAATTAAGATAATTTAAAAATTCTATAAATATAAAACTACAAATTAACAAACTTATAAAAATTGTAAAGTTCTTAGTTCCACTTTTTCGTAGCTTTAAGGCTGAATAGCTTAGCTAATCGAATGATTTGGAATATTTTTGAAAATTGAACTGAAAGTTCAAAATACTTCTGTATTTTCCAAACTACCCAGCTGGAACTACGTTTTTTTAAGTGACTCAGCGATCGATTCGATCACTTGAACTTTATATCTCGGCTGATGAGGCTTTGATTTGTGGCCCTCAGCCGGGGATCTCCAGAACCGGAGTCCGGCCAAATAGTTGGCCTATGTTCTACACAATTATCTGTTATTATCGAGCTTTATTCTGCTCTTTTTTCATTGCGCAGCAATGTTGACATCTCATTGCTGGAGGAGCCTTTTATGCCAACACTTAAAAATAGCAGCCACAGGAGATGTTCGCCAGAGATGAGCCCCCTTCGAAGCCCCTTTCTTCGTTCCTTTGGAGAATTCCTTGGCATTCCCCTGTGATCGTTGAGGGAGAACACGTGTCTCTCAGTGGGTTGATGGGTTGGTAAGGAGTGGGAGATACGACTTGGCGCAAGGACACCAGTAGATGGCATTGTTTGACAAGAGCTGTGGACAATCGAGAGCTAGAAGCTAATGGGATAAAGGGAAAAAAAGACCCCACGTTATAAAATATTTAGGTTAGATATACAATTTTCAAAACTAATAATCGCAAAAATGTATAAGGACACGAGGTCATGATTTAGCTTTTAAAAGCTGAAATGAATAATCATTTTAAGGTTTGTGTAATATTATTTCGAATTTCAAGCCTCTCCCCACTTTCATTCATCATTATCGTCAAGCAGTTACTATCACTTCCTTTCCCGACTCCTCCCAAATAGCTTGACCTGCGACTGATGAACTCAATCAAAGCGAAATTAAAGGAAGCCGGGAGAAAATCCGCGAAGCAAATTACAATTTTGATAATTGCCATGACTGCGACTCGAAATCATTTCTCTCCTTTCCCCTTTGCCGGCGCTCAAGCTGAACCGTTTCGATCGATCGATGGATCGAACAGCAGCAAACTGCCGAAAAACCACCGGACGAAGGGTCAGCAAATTTTGGGGAAGACTGGGACAGAAGGGTACACTTTTTAGGGGCAATGATTTACGACCGCAGAAGGTACGAACTTCGGAGAGAACGAAGTGGAAGTGGAGAGCGAGTCGAGGGACATATCAATAAATTTTAGATCGGTGCTTGCACTTGATTATAAAGTGGAAGCCAGCATATAATGTCCAGTTGTTGTATAATTTGGCCAGATTGCGGGTTCTTTATGCACCGATTTCGCGATTCCACTTCCTGTTGACCTTGTGTCTGTTTCTGTTAGGTCCCATTTCAGGGACTAGTACTTAAATCTATTATTCTGAAACCGTTTTTAAGTAAATAATCATTGTCGGAGACCACAAACTTTGATGGCTACCTAGGATAAATTAACCCCAATCTGGAGTGCATTTAATCCAGTTCAAAGCGAAGGAAGAGATTTCTGTAGCGCCCCCACTTAAATTGTATGAATGTTAGATTCTTAATTTCTGAACAATATACTTCCTGTTGACCTTGTAGAGCATGTAACATATTTGTACCTCTAAGATCGCCGCTAATTCTACGATCCCATCTCCATTGCAGATACCGCGAGGACGCACTGTGCTGGGGCGACAGGTGAGCGCAGCCAACAAGTGAGCCGAGACATTTATCGGCTAATTTAATTTATTTAGAAAATGCCACAGCTTTTTCCCGCCGTAACAGCTTCACGCTAATCGAATTCAACAGCCCGACTTAAATGTGCTTTTTGCTTTCTTTTGCTTCGGCCCCTTCTTCTTGCAGAAAGTCCATGGAGGAGATCGGTGCGGCCCAGTCCTCGGTGAATGCGCGGTAAGTGTTAATGTTACCGTAAATGATTCAGTTCCCCCGATCGGAGATCGGAGATCGAAGATCCCGGCCCCTTCCATTCCCATCCTAACCATCGTCAGCGCCACTTGGCGGCGGCGGCGACTGCGCATCGCATTTGTTAGCATAAAATTATTGAATGCCAGAGAAGTCGTCTTTGTTGTCGTCGCTGTCTGCATCTCGAGGTCCCTGCTCCCCTCCATCTAGGTCTGGATCTGGACATCTCTAGATGTTCAGAAGTCGGCGCGACAGACGTCAAAGGCGCATCTATGAGATACCTGGTATCCGCGGCTTACAGCAGAAACCGTTGGCAGCTTTCAGGGTATCCTAATGCCGGGCGGTTATCGCTGGTGTAACGTTAGATTGGTGCTAACAGGGAAACTTGGGTCATAAAAAAATCCTTATAAAATTATTGCCTGGATTTTCAATTAAAAATGTTCAGCATTTCTTATTGATATTCCAACTATGAGGCTGGTTATCAAACCAGCGGTTGTTATACTTTAATGTGGTAACCTTAACCATTTTGCCAAATTAATCGTCAATGAACCAGAGCTGGGTGACTAAGTTGGAAGTTTCAAGTTAACCGACTTCTTAAATGAAATGCCCCATCACCTCTCTCAAGTATCCCAGATATCCCACAAGGCTTAACCATTCTTAACTCAGTTCACCTGGCCTAATCTAGTGTACAGATAGTTCGGCTCGATCCGCCACAGATTCCACTTGATGTGCGCTGTCTGCTCTTCGCTGACTTGTTGTCTTGTTCTCGTTTTGTTATGACATTTTACATTTTTAATGGGAATTCTCACATAAAAAGTACAAATATCGGACTAATTGGATTTATCTCGAGGCTGTCGCGCGTTGTCACACTCTTTTTCTTGGCCTGCCGGAAGATCTGAGGCAGAAAGCTCCGCAAAGAACAAGGAATACGGGGGCTCGAGGAGTTCTAGACAAGTTTCTAGTTCTCAGAGACTGAAGACCTGGGCCTGAAGACTCTGGACTCTGGGATCGAGTCTTGTAGCAATTAGCAGTAACCCAGCAGTGGTCGAGAGTCCCAATTCGTTCCCCAATCCGTTTCCAATGAATCGATCAACTGGAAAACACAAAGATAACAACACTCGGCCGCAACAATGCTGCAATGAGGTAAAGTTGCATTGCTCAAATTGATTTCTGCAATTAATTGAACAACGCAAATGACAAACTGACAAAAACACAAGGCACAAAACAAAAGTGAAGCACATGAAAAGCCCGTAGCGAATTCCTCTCTCTTCAGACCCGTCTTCCAGCCCCCAAAACCCCCTCCCCTGGCTTTAACCAACCTCGAGACATGCGAAGAATGTACTTTGGCTCCCGAACACGCTTTCAGCTCGCGAGCAGAAAAGCTGGGGATTGTGGCTAAGGAATTGGTTGGAGGACACATCTTCGGAGTATTCTTCGGTATTCGGGGGTATATTGGACTATTTTAAGATTCGGCAATAATTTTCAAGCCTTTATACAATGTCATTGTGAAGATAAGATAATAGCACTCACCACTTATTAGATTCAGTTCGATAATTCTCCAACTTGCCATTTATATTATGTTTAAGTGTCGGTCTACAGAAAAATCTGGAAAAAAAATTAAATATAAAAATAAAGTGTTTTTTTAACAATTCAATCGTTTATGTTAATCCCTTCAATCGGAATAGTTTCTTGACTATTCACTATACTTACCCTTTTTTAAAAAGTAGTTCCACTTCGTTCCGTAAACCAAAAGTATTTGGCCTATTTATGTAAAGCTTTACTAACCGGCATTCTATATATGGCTTTATTCTATAGGAAAACCTTATTCGATTCCTTTTTCAGCGCTTCTTGTTTTGTTTTTCACGGTCATGACTGCCAACTGAAGTTGTTTTTTATTTTGGTTATGAGTTTTTTTCTGATCTGATACATTGGTCGGCATTGTTTATTTCTCCACATCTCGACACAGTTTCGTAAGGTGCAAGAATATTAATTAATAATTCCGATCACAACTGATCACTTTTGTGTCGCCGCTGCTTGTCCTTCTTCCGCAGGCTTGCGAATTATTTAGTTAAATACCAGAAAAGTGAACGACAAGCTGCAAAAGCAAATGGAAAACCGGAGTTAAAATGTGATGGTGAGAGGGGTATGGTTTCTTTCTGATTTTTCCTTGTTTTTTTCGTTACTGAGTTAATTTATCAGCTTTAACGGAAAGTTTGTAGCACACGAAATGTCAATGATCGATTACAAATTGATCAGTCAGTGAAAAACTTAGACATTGAATTAATTTTAACACTCTATCAAGAAAAGGTATCACTATTTATGCCAAGAAAAATTAGAGGGTATCGAATTTATGTTGGGTTGTTGTTCTTGAGGATTAAATTCGGTTAAAGCTATCATTCTTTTACAATCAAAGGTTAAGATTTTTTGAATTTCTATTTTTTGCTTCCATTTTTAACCTCCGAAAAGAAGAAAGTGAGAAAGTGGAACCAAAAAACTGCACTTTATCATTCTGGACCAAAAAAGTTATTACCCAAACTCCATTGGGAATGCAATTGGGGGAAAGGGGCTATGGGGCATCGGGATCTGAAGAGAACATTTCATCGGAAGCACGCACAATTGCGATAAAGATCACGCTCCCGAACTGCACTACTCCGATTTCATTTGGATTCCGACCCTCCCTCTCGCTCCGATGTTTTATTGCTTAATTGTTGGTCTCTCTTGTGGTTTTTGAATTATAAATTCCGCTTATTGTTTTATTTTTTGTCACTGCCTTCGTTTTGTTTTGCTTTGTGTTGTGTAACACAATCGGGAAACAGTTAGGCCATAAAAAACTCTCTCAGATCTGACAATAAGATAAATGCATTTCTCCGGCTACTCTTTTTTGGCCTGGTTGCAGCATCAGTGACTAAAAACACTGTAAAAGTTTGATATGATCCTTACTACCTGTTGTGTATTTTATTTTTTGAAGAAACATAATATTGAGCATGTTTGATAATCGCGATTAGTTTTGAATTTGTTTTAATTTTAAAGGCGGGTAACCCATTTTTTCGAAAATTCACTTGATGGAGACCATGAAATATTTTCTTCGGGTGTAATAATGATTCTTCTGGAAATCATTTTGTCCAGCTATTTTATCACCTGACGTCAGTTTTATGGGGGCTCGGCCTGCCTCCTGGAAGAAAATGGTGACAGATCAGCGATCGCGGTTAGTTTATTGCTTCCTCCCAGGCTCCTTTCTCACTCATTTCTCGCTTATCTTATCGCCCCGATCACTTGTTCATCGATCGTTTTCCAGGCGCCTGTGAATGGTTTCTGGTTCTCGTTTTTGTATTGGTTGTTTTCGCATTTATTGTATTTATTTCGATTTGGATTTCTTTCGGCCATCACGTTCCTATTTGAAATGGACGCCTCGTGTGTCCGAGTAAACGTGATAAATGCATCAACTTGCCAACTTTGCTTCCCGCCTCTTTTCCGCTAACCCTGAACCTCCCATTGGTGTCTCTTTTCCTAATATGTTTCCTGTTGCTACTGTTAACAATTCGGTTCCTGTGGCCTTGGGGGTTTTTCCTGCACTGTGTTCTGTCGGAAACTTAAAAAAATGTTTGAAGGATTTCTTTCACATAAAAACAAATGAGAAAAAAAGAATACCTTACTTTATAAATCTAAGAAGCTATGAATGAAATTTTCAAATAAAAAACCGATTCATCCAAACTTCTAATAAAGTAAATGTACCACATTTTCAATTCTAGTTCGACCCATTAGCAGTAATAGATATCGAGGTTATTACTGTAGAGTTCCAAAGACGTGATATGTGGAAGAGCAGGCCAGACGTGAGCCAGACACTTGAGCCTTAGTTCTGCCCCCGCTGGCCGTCGCACTCTTTCATTCATAAAAGCGAATTTCAGCTCCTGACTGGAATACAAGTGTTTTCTAAAACCAAAGCAGAAAACGCAACTGAAACCGAAATGAAAATTCATGTCCATGTTCCAGCGACGCCCGCAACACGCACACGCACCTCAAAATGGCGAGGGGTGGTAAATGGAAATGGTTAATGAAGAGGGGCTTAGGGGGCGCTTGAGGAGGGGTTGAGGCGCCACCACACGCATCGTTGCACGTCCGTGGCCATTGTCCTCGGGCGACTGGAGCCACACGCCGTCCACTCGCCATCCACACACAGTCCACAGTCTACACACTCGAAAAAATCGAACTTTTCGAAAACGTTTTTTCGCTTAAAAAGGAATAACAAATGGCTTAAGATCTTTAAAACCTTTCCAAACAGAAAGGTAACACCAATAAGCTTAAAGAATAATATTTTTTTAATAGGTTGTTTCATTCCAACACTGAACTCTTTAAACCCTCAAAAATGTTGATCATATTTTAAAAACTGATTAAATTTCGAATTGATAAGAATGGTGTAGGGATTGACCCAGAATAAATAATTCATTTGGTGTTTGTATTTCTGGTGAATCCTTCAGGAAGAGAATTAGGGAAATTCGCAATGCCAACAGTTTTCTCAGTGCTTACGCACTGCCGATTTCCGACCTACAAAAGGAAGGTTCTTCCACTTGCCCCTGGACAATTTCAATGCCTGCCTGCCCACGATGATGATGACCACGAAGATGATGATGGCCACGATGTCTGCCCGGTGTCTGGACGTGAACGTGAATGTGGACGTGGACATGGCCGCAGACCCCCTTAGCCCCCTAACCAACCGAAGTCCCACATCCTGCCATTCATTCCGGAAGCGCGAACGCTTTCCACGTTCGATTTTTATGGCGAGCGCTGAATTCGAGTTCCTCATTCATTGTCTACTCCCTCGACCATCTCTTCTTCTTCCTCATCCCGGATCTCTGGACCTGGACACCCTGGACACCCCTTAACCCGCCGGCGCCTGACCCAAGCACTTGGCACGTTTCCTTTTTAAAATTCACAATTGCCGCCGCCGTAATTGTGGGAGAATTCGCTACGCCAACTTGTCTCTTCGCCATCACACTCACTCTCTACCAAGAAATCGATCACGTTTCGGTTTCTACACATGTTCCAGTTACGTTACGCTTACGTAATGTTTGTACTGCCCCCGGGGGGATGTGGGGTCTTGAAAATTGCCTGTGGTTAAGGCCAAGGAACCCACTTTGCTCTAGTTTTTGGCGAGAACAGCGGAGACTTGTGATGGGATTTTAAGTGAATAAAGAGTTCCGATAATATTGACAATAATTATTGTAGATCAGAGATAAAGAAAAATTCTAGCAATGATTTATCGTTGTATAAGCTCCCTAAAGTAAGGACCTATTAGCATAAAAAGTATTTCTGGAGACCTTAAAATTGTTTATATTTTACCACCAATATAATTTGTTGACCTCTTTTAATAACGAATATATATTTTAATCCATCTTTTCTAAATTTTATTTAATCTTTTATTCCAAACTTATTATCCTTTCCGTTAGTTTTCAATGTTGGCAAATAAATGGCGACCCCCACCTTGAGCTTTCAACCTTTCTTTCGTGGAAATTAAGAGGATGTTGCCTTTTCTTTGTGGGGTTTTAATAGGGGTGTGGACTTTATTGGGGAGTACTGTACAAATAGGCACATAAAAGAGACAGCTTCTGTCTGTGCGAGCTTGGAATAACAAATCGACCCCTCCCTCTGGACTGACTACCTGTCTCCCCTTTCACGCACACTATATCCTGTTGGGCCCCCGGTTCAAGGGTTCGGGTCATTCCGCAGGATATATAGATGGATATAGCCATCCGTAGGCTTTGGTTTCTCTGCTTTTCATTGGCATTTCGGTCACATACACAAACACACATAAAAAGGCGAGGCAAACACCCACGCAGCCGACGAGTGCGAGCGAGAGCACCGCGAATTCCCAAATGTGTAAAGAAGTAAACTAATTGCTGCGCGTGCTGCTCTCTCTTTCTCTCCCTCTCTCGCTCTATCTCTTTGGTTTGCAAACAAGTACATAAAGTACATATACATGGGCTATAGACGCGAGCGAGCGAGATGGCGTTAAACCCGTTTCCGCACGTACATCGCGCCATCCCTCTCTGACCGCTCTTGCTGTCCCGCTTGCCCCTTACTCCATTTTTTCAGAAAATTGCGCATACGCGACGTTGCCGCCTTCTCCCCGTCCTCATTTGGTATGCGCACTATGTCGATTCCGATTCGACGCCGCGTCACGTCCCGCCCATTTGCACGCACACACACCCGCCCCCTGTGTGTGTGCAGTAGTGTATGTGTGCTGTGCCGGAGTGTGTGTGCGGAGAGCGTGAGCCTGCTTAAAATGCTACTGGCGCTGCTCGCACATGACTCTGCCGGCGGTCAGGTGCTGCTCACCCACACAGGCACTCCGTCACTTCTACACGCACATGCCCTGGAGCGCTAGGGTGACTCAAATTGGATGTTGGAAAATTTGTGAGTGGATAATAGTGGTTTGGTTTTCACGAAACCCTCAAAACGGAGATTTTAATTTGGGGTTATATATCGAGTTTCAATGAGCCGAATATCGTCTAGATTTTGTGTATCTCTTTGTATGACAAGGTTCTATTAGTCCGATTTGAACGTTTTAAGTTGAAGACTTTAGAATTAAAAATATATACTTTTCTTCTATAGATACCTCAAGATGTAGAACTTGATTCGGAATAAGATACTCTCATATAAGTTAATCAGTACAGATCAATTTCTGGGGTTCTTTCAAGTTACGTAAATTAAAATAAATTTGTTGCAAAGGCGCTCATACTGTTAAAATTTCAGGGAAGAACTTTCGCTTCATAAATAGTTTTAAGTTAAATTTCTGTGATATTCCTTACAAGAGTTATCCTTAATTTGGAGTCACCCTATTGCCCGCTGGCACTTGGCGCCGTTGCTTCGTTTTTCGCTTCGAGAGTCACCCCCAAAAATTGTATGTGTTCCCTCTCGCTCGCTCGCGGGCTAGCCCTCTCCCGCTCGCTCTCTGCCGCCGACTCATTGTTGTTGGGCTGCTCTCTTTGCCTTTTTGCCCTGCTTTGGTTTTGTTCGGTGACGTGAACGTGACTCTGGATTATTCTGCACGTACTCGTCGCCAGCGACGGACGTACCGCATACCGTACTCCGTGCTCT